TGAAACTTCAACTGCGTGAAATACACAGCAGTATGAAAATTCGGCTACGTGAAACACACAAACTTCACGCATGCGTGGAGTGTATGGAGTGTACGGGAGTGATTCACGCAATGGTGCGAATAGTCACGGCCTTTAAAATACTCTTGTACTCAAGTATGATTTTGTCGCAAATCAACTTACTTAAATCGCGTAGAAGAATCGTCAATCTTTTAGTCTTTATTATTTTCATGATTTTTTCGTTATGCACTTCCAATATTGCAATATGTAAAATATTCATGACGTAACGCGGAACGATAGCGATGAATGAAAATTTATTCAAGTTCCGTGAAGTGCACACATTCTGAGATTTAAGTCATTGAAAATAATTTACTTCTCTCGAGTAAATATGTTTCAGATATTAGAAATTTTTTTCTCAGTGAATGCAATGATCGAATCGGTAAAGTAGTTGCACAGATAAAAATTAATAATTGTAGGAGAAAACATAATTCTAATAGTTCATATAGACACAGGGGTTCTGTTTTCCCTTAACACCTCACGTACGGGGGCGATGCCATGCATCGACCCATGGAAATATGAATGACTCTTTAAAAACGATTATTGCCAAAACTATGGAATTTAACTCAACCAAACAAACAACAACGAAAAAAGGAATACCGTAGCTTTAATTACATATGGGTTTCATAATTTTCCGTTGATTAGAAGTCGTTACATTCTAATTGTATCGAGCATACTCCACGCTCGGAAACAAAAGGGCCCCGTCTGTGAACCTTTTCTCTGATTCTCCGCGAAATTTCACTCTAATCCAGAGACTGTTACTGAAAACCAGAAACTTGTTTTCCCTGTGAATAATCAACGATGAATTACCAATTGCCGGACGAAACATTCCAACAGGCAAGTCCTTTCCATACTGCTGCACCACTTGTTCCGCAATTTGTTTGGTGAATGCATAACTGTTAGGATAATTTCCCAACAACTTTGGTGTCATTTCGTCGAGTTTACTTTCATCAACACTGTTCACCAGTTTTATGATAGAGTCTGCAGAGATCGTTGGAGAATAAAACTTCTCCGCAATGTCGTCTCTGACACAGTTGCTGTAGGCAGTGGAGACGTGTATGACTGCCTGCAGTAATTGTATTGATTAAAAACAACACCATTGATTTAATTCATTGGCAATTCATAGGTATAAAATCAGTAGCGAAGTGGTCAAACGGTTCAAGTCAATTTAGTCTTTAGGTGAGTTTTCCAGAGATATTTCCGAATTGAAGGGAGATAGCGAAATTTTCATAATAACCTTTCTTATAAAGCGTATTGAATGCTACTAAAAAGGTTATGAGAACAATTTTGCTATCTCCCTTAGATTTCGAGATATTCAGTGAAAACTGGCCAATAGCCAAAATTGACCTAAATCGTTTGACCACTTCGCTACTGAAATAGTGTCTATTTACTCTGAGGTTCGGCATGCTTCGGCACAGGCTGAGCATCTCCTTTGGTCCTCTGATGTTTATGGTGACGGCGTCCTTCATTTTCTCGTCGAATCGAACAGTCGCTGCGACGTTGAAAACAACTGTAATTTCACAAATAAGTAAATCTCGGTCGGAAGTAGATAATCCCAGGCCTGGTAGGGCACAGTCGCCAGTTACTGCTGCAACTTTGTGCCGAAATTTTGGCACCTCGGTTTTCAAACGTTGAAAGATCTGAAATAAATATACAGAGGAATATGAAAAACAACTTTTAAAAATTGTCTGCTGAATTTTCCGTGCGAAATCCGGAAAATTTTTATCGTGTTAAATTTCCACTGAAATTTCAGCAAATATCGTCATTGAAAAATCAATGATTCCATCGACTTTCTATTCGAATGATCTGAAAATCAATAAAATACTTGACTTTTCAGCCAATTGATTGCGTGAAAATTCTGAAAAATTGGTAAAATTCTGGGAAAAATCGAAAGTTCTTCATGGATGCTATTGAAAATTCCATTTATTTATTGTTATGTAACATTTTGCAGCGCTTTGTTAGTATAAAATCAATAGATTTTGATTTTCTCATATAAATTATTCTCTTGACATTTTCTCATTTTGAAATCCAATGAGAATTCAGTTGAATTTCTCAGAAAAAGCGCTAGTTTTCTCATTAAATTTATTAACACATAATGTTATGATTGATGAGGCTTCATCTGTTCGGAGCGAATTTCAATTTGTCCGTTGAAAAACTTTCTATTTCAGAGTTATGGAAATTTTTTTGCAGATAGTGGAACCATTCGCACGTCATCGCCATTATGCTATTCACATGCGAATGTTTTTGTTCATCAAATCCCTAGAGAGAACTGGTTCGCCCATTTTTTTTCTGTCTAGCCGTTAATCCCAAATAACAAGGCAGTTGTTCCGCTTATTACTCACAGGATCCTCGAACAAACTGTCCATTCGCTGCATGACATTTTGGCCTTTCTTAGACCTCATCAGTAAATAAATCGATGAGATATTTGGGCACGATCTGAGCAACTTTTCGATCAGGATCTTCCCGAGGAATCCGGTTCCACCTTGAGCATAATAAAAATATTATTACATGGACGGGCTTACTCAATATTTGACATTTGAGTATTCATTTAGCCATAAATCAATGGAGTCGCATCAAAAATTGAATAATTTTTTAATGCATCATCGGAAATAATTATGATGTGAGCACCGGAAATTTTCAATGTTCTCGGAGATCTCTTCAAATGTTAAAAATAACATTCTAATTGACACTATAATTTTCGTAATAGTAGTTGTAATTGAAAACTATTTTTTTTTTAAAAACATTTTTTCCTTGTTAATTTATTCTTTCTGTGGTATAAATCTATGGAGTTCTTTCAAATGAAATGATTATCGTACAATAGATTATATTTTTTTCTGCCAACAGTTCGCATTTTGCGCACCAAATTCCGAAAATTTTTATCGCGTTCACGTTCTGCTGATATTTCAGGAAATCTTGTCATTGAAAAATCAAATATTCCTTTGATTTTCTGTTCAAATGATCTGGAAATCAGTAAAATACTTGATTTTCCAGTTCAATTATTCTGTGTAAATTCAGAAAAATCAGGAAAATTCAGGGAAAAATTTAAAATTCATGTCATTTTGTTTCTGAATATTCATGTTCCACTGAAAATTCAATCAAGTTGTAAAATTTCCATCTCACACCGACTGAAAACTCATGAATTTCCGTGAATTCTACTTAAACCTTCAAATTCCATAGCCATTTTTCCCTAAATTCGATTCAATGTCACTCCCATGAGATTTACAATAATGTCTTCCATGAAATTTTTGTGAAAGATTAAATTTCCGTCTATCAACTTGGTTATTTTTCCTGTAGTAAATCTGTTCCACTCCATCAAATATTCCACGTGGAACATATCGTTTTTCGGCAGAGCAAATTTTTTCTCTCACAAATGGAGTGCCACGAGTCTCCAAAAACTAATTTTTTTCCATGAAGTTTTCACTTCTGCATCAATTGTACTGTCCCTGCGGTAATTTTACTTTTACTTGACTCCGCTGTGTAATATAAAACTGCTTCACCTGTGATGAAAACATTCTGGCCAGCGTAGAACTGTTGAATCGGAGTTCCCAGTGCTGTTGTACTCACATTATTATTGATCGCCATCTGAAAAAAATAAAAGCTCTTAATTTGCATATCAATTAGCATCATATTTATCGTGATTGAGCAGCTGGTTTCGCATTACATCATTCCCCACGGTTTGATCAAACGGCAAAGTCGTTCATACGCGGTTCTGCGCTGTTCACTATATATTCCAACGCGGGAGATAATGATTTATGATTGAACAGGAATTCACTGGAAGTATTAGCAGTGCTACCTTTGATGCCTATATTACATGGGCATAAATTAGTGAGAAGATCACGAGCTACTGAAAAATTGCAAAATAATGACATCTTGAAACATCTCATGCCAATCAGTGTGAATAAACAATGGAAAATCATGCAGATTTACTTCCATTAGGCAAAATATTTCCCGGATGTCTTCATCCAGAGGAATGGGTTATTTGAATCGTGAAATTTCAATTTTTACCCAGAGTTCGAAGATTTATCCGCTTGAATTTTCCTAATTTCTATGGATTTTTATGGAATAACTGAACGTAAATTCATAATTCTTATTGATTTTTTCCATAAAATTTTGAATTTTTGATGTCAAAATTCTCTGGAATTTTCTAACAGTGTAATAGAGACTTTATTCTAACTGAAAATTGATTTTTGTTTGGGTTTTATTCACATCAAATCAATAGTGCCCATACATTTCCATACATTTTGTTACTGAAAAATCAGTGAAATTCTGGATTATTCAGTGAAATTTCATTTTATATTGTCACGTGGGCCTGAAAATTGTGTCAAGAAATTCATAGCTAGAAAACAATCTGACGCCAAGAAATTTTATACTTATCCGAAAGATGAGGGCAACTGGTTCATATCAAGAAAACGAGCTCTCAAATAAATTCAAGTGTTTTTTGCATTAGAATATTTTAGAATTGAGGCTAAAAAACTATTAAACGAACTAATTCGACTTTACTTGGTATGAGAAATCGCTTCTTGTCCTCGTCTTTAGGACAAAATTTCTTGACGAAAGTTTTTTTTTCTTAGTACAAGATATTTCGTTCTTGAAAATTTTCAAGCGCGTGAAGACGTACTTCTGAAAAAGTTTTTTTTTCTCAATGTATCTCTCTGAACCTTCAATTAATCATAAATTCAAATCGACAAAATATCAGTTGAATTTTAATTCAAGTAACTGAAATATCAATGATGGCCTACCACAAATGATCCAATTAAAAAAAATTCAAGCTGAATAATGGATTTCATGAACGATTTAAATTAAATTCAAATCCACAAAATTGGAAATTCAACTGCCCCGTACTACATTTGAATTTGACTTTCTCTCTTGGCTAATCCGGGCATATTGCTATATTCAACCTCAAGTGGTATTTCGTAATGATGTTGATAAAGTGCATATCATAATAGTCCCGACGTTTTGAGTCTGTCACCTTGATAAACTCAATCATCTCCCTATTTTGAAGCGCATAAGTCATGCGATTACAGCTGTCGGGAGCTATTGACAGGCTGAATGTCTGTGATTGTTGCGGAATTCTGGAGATATTTCTAATGTCTGCGTTCTAGATCAGTGCATTGCCGAGGGTGAATCGCCTTGACGGGGAATGGTCAGCAGCCGCCTCTACAGCCACGACATATTTTAATTGTAATTGGATAGTATTCACTTAAAATGGAAATTGATAGCGTGTGGAGAAACAGTTTCCCCCCGATTTTCGTCCATCTTAATTCAGGTTGAAGTGGATAATAACAGCGTAAAATTAATTGACTGGGAGGAAATGTCATAATTGGAATATCTTAATCATCCACTGGGTATTAGTGTTTGGATGCTAGTGTTGTGTCACACTCTCTCTCTTTTTCCGGGATCCGGTATTTATCATCGGTTGGCCGCAACTGGCTGCACACTGAGAGAAAAATCGACATAATGTCACAAAAGTAATGAGGGGAGAACATCTTATGTATATTCGATCAATTCATGGTAGCTTTCAGACAAAAAAATCGTTTTCGGGCTAAAGGAAGATGATACTGAATAAAAAAAAGATATTTTGTAGTCGAAATTGAATAATTTGGCTGAGTTTTCCAGAAAATTAATTTGAATTTAATAGGAAGAGTCAATGGAATTTCAAGTTCCCCTGAAAATTCAAATAAACTCCCGTTTTTTAGCGGCAAGAAGACAATTCACGTGAATTTTTAAGTGAAACTGAATACTCTCAAATTCTCTCCAACTTTCAGGGAATTCCTTTAAAATTCTTGGAATTATATTTGAGATATTTGAAATTAGTTTTGGGATATTTCTCTTAGTGTAGCAAATATAAAAAAATCGATAGGGCACTCGCTTCGCTTGCAAAAGTCGCATTCATTATCATGACAAGAAATCAACTCCATCGTTTTTCTTGAGATCATCAAAATTTTGAAAAAATTTCATTTTTCGACGTTTTTTCACTATTTTTCCTCCGACTTCTGGAGAACAACTGAGGTGATCTTGTTCAGAATCTAATCAGTTCTGAATTACGTGAAAGCACATCCATTGCGTGCAAAAATTTTCTTCGTGTTTCCTTCACCCCAGATTTCCAGATTCTCTCGATTCGTGAGGATTATGATGTAATTTCAAATCTCACGTAATTTCGCGATAACTGAATGTTACTTCTTATAGTGTTATTTAATCGCTCATTAGGTTTATGTCACTGCTCACCTCGAGTCGTCATGACGGATAGAAAATTTTTTTGCAATGTAGAATCGTGCGCCAGTGAAAAATGATACAGTGGCAGTTTAAGGATGTTCGACACCTTTTTGGCTGAAATTCACGTTTTTTTTCCTTTTTCTGGTGAATTGTCGATCGGATTGCCGGAAAAAAATATAACGTTTTTGTGTTCTGTCATTATTTAATGGCTCACGCAGTGTCATGGTGGTGGGAGCATTTTCCTGCGTTTTTTCTACAGTTTAGTGATTCCTTTTAAACGTTTAGCAAAAATGCACAAAAATGATCGCTCCACCTTGCAACTTCGCGAGTCATTAAATAATGACAAAATGCAGAAACGTTATATTTTTTCGCGTCAATCCGACCGACAATTCGCGAGAAAAATTAAAAAAACGTGAATTTTGACCGAAAAGGTGTAGAACATCCTTAACGAAATTCCAGGGAATTTAGTGACATCGAACGGTGGAACATTATTTTTATTATGGAGTGTCTGACTTTTATTATGGACTCTCATGAAATCAATTATGTGTAACAATCACATGAAGACCGATGTGTACAGCCCATTAATCACAGCCCAAACGAATTCGATTAGAATTTACATCTCATCAGAATTTCACACTTTTCATATTCCTTTAGTGAATTAAAACCTTATTTTTTTCTTGAGAAAGCACATCCCTGGACCTTGATCTTTTTGAAGAGAACAAATCACCACGACTCCTCCACTATTTTCATTTCTATTCACTCTATACGAGAAAATTCCACCGTAAATTCGAAAAAGAAACTGATACAGACGAATGACTTTCTAATGAAAACTGATACATAAACAATTTGGCGACATTCCAGGGAATTCCATGACATCAAACATTCCATGAAGTCCGATGGGTACAGCCCACGAACCACAGGCCAAGGGAATTCGATTAAAATTTAAATCTCATCAGAATTTCACACTTTTCATATTCCTTTAGTGAATTAAAACCATATTTTCTTCTCGACAAAGCACATTTCGGGACCATGATCTTTTTGAAGTGAACCACGACTCTTCCACAATTTTTATTTTAAATTCAGTTGTTATATGATATAATTCCACCGTAAATTCGGAAAAACGATCGATACACATGAATATCTCTCTAGTGAAAACTGATATATAAACAATTTGGCGAAATTCCAGTGAATTTAAATTACATCCACGGAATGTCAACTACATCGAACGTAGGAAATTTGTTTTTGTTATTGAATGTAGGAATGATACTCTCATTCAATCAATTCTATGTAATAATTCCACAAAGACCAAGGGGACCAGAAGCCAAGCGAATGTGATTAGAACTCCCAAAATGCCATCCCCATTTCACACATTCAATTTTCGCGATGAAAAAATGCATTTGCGTCAATAAAAAATATCCATTTTTATTCTTGAATTCTCAATTCTCAATTAAATTGGCACAAATATTCCTTTTTCACTGGACAGTCTTGTGTTACTAGTTACAAAACCGTATTTTTCACTCGTAAAAGCTCTCATCCCACGAATCCTCCACAATTGTTATTCCCATGCGATTGTCACATAAAATTATCAACTACAAATAATTTTGCATAAATCACAGGCATCACCGAGGGTAATTCCCCTCTCAACTGACACAAATAACTGAATTATCCAGGATCAGGATATCTATTCCTCATGCACCGTTCATAAACTCCAGTTTCAACTGAGCATCCTCGATCGATAAATCCCCTCCGAACTGATTCAAATGCTTATTTTTATTAATCACGAAACCGCTCGTTACATTTGTATTTCTCGTGCACTCACCTTGTCACTATCAATCCTGCTAGCCGAGTGAAGGTGATCAGAATACTGACCAACCGAGTATTTATGGAATAATTAATCACGGAGTTGGCAACCACTCGCACATTTATTGATTTTTTTATTTTTAGATTTTTAAGCTTTTAATGATGAAGATCTTTGCAGTCCACCTGCACTTGGTCCACCGGTGGTTTAGAGTGCAACAGTGTGACTGTTGCGTACGTCTCTTATAGAGGTGTGTATCCCCTTCCCTTTGACTCTCCCTCGGTCATTCTGAGGAACGCTGGCTAGGCTAGCTATCAATTCAGCGAGGTGAGCTTCATTTAATTGAGTAGTGTTAGAAAAAAAAATTGAAATTTCATGGATAGTTTAGGAGGAATTTTTGGGAGAACTAGATTGAATTCGGGTTAGGGGGGGAGGGGGCTCGTAAAATTTCAGATTTCACTGAAAATTCAATTGAATTGAACTGGTTTTTTAATTCATTGAGAGTTTAAGAATTTTTTACCTAAATTTTATGGATTTCTATGAATTTTTATTAAACAATTAACCTCAATTTCCCAGATTTTCATTAATTGTCGTAGGGAAATTCATAAATTCATTCCTGACACGAAATTGCTTACAATTTCAGTCTAAATCACTGTATTTTTTTTGTATCTACATTTTTTTTGTATCTACATTAGGTAAACTTCGACCGTTTCACTTCTCCATTACTTTCCAGAGACAAATGACGTTTTCAATAGTATGCTAAAAGTCACATTGATCAGTTACTAGATATATAACACTAGAAAAATTCCATAAGCATTATGTTTTTTGCAGAAAATGTGAACTGCGTCATTAGAAAATTTTCCTTCAGGCGTAATGATGATGAACTTCATTATTTTGAACGATATAGATGCGGCAATAAATTAAGTCTTGAACTTAACCTCGTCATTAGGAATATACGTGCACGAAAAAAAACTTGCAGAAAAAATTTGAGTGAAATCGCGCAAAACGTGTGCTATTTGAAAACTTCGATTTCCGTGTAAACTCAATCTTGATTTTTTTTTAATCTGATGAAACAAAATTCTTTATTCGAAGTTTTTCTATTAACTTGTGCAATATAAAAGAAGTTTTTCTATTTTTGAGCAATAAAAAAGACGAGAATTCCCCAACGTACTTGAATTTTCAATGAACGCATGAGAATTCGGTCCAAATTACGCTGAATTTTCATTTTAAGTAGTACATCCCGAGTCCACAGAGATCATTGACTACAGTGAGGAAAAATAAACGTAAAAAAATTGATGCAATTCTCTCTTCAATTATTCTTTTAAACAATAGTTGCTCGTTTGATTATGACATTCTGTATCTTTGAGGTATCCAGAACCATAAATTATTCATCACGAAAGTTTGACATTGACGATAATTTTCGAATTAGATATAGAACAGTTATTTATTTTTTTCTGATTTCTAAAGATTTTTTCTACATTATAATCTTCTCTCCACCCTTGAAATATTCACTTTCTCATAAGACTCTCTGTTATTTTGGCACTTCTAAATTAATTATGATAAATAATACTAGACTGTAGATTGAGCACGAACTCAGCCAGGTTGTTTTTATTCATATCAAATTCCGTTTAGAATTTATTTCAGATTTTCATTTTCAAAATTTAAGTTATGTATATACTACTTTAGTTGATAATTCAAGAACATATTAGCATGATGTTTATTCATTAGCACGCAATAATTGGGCTGAAATTTACGGCACTCATTAATTTGTCCCCGAAAATTTAGACTTTGAATGATGAAATTCTTCAAGTTTAGCGGAAATTGGAGTCAAAAATTTTCAACAGTGCCTGTCGTACCCAAAATGCCCTACGCCACGTGTTAATTTCCCGTGACCTTGTCCTTGAGCGATAGAAGTTGACGCTAACGCGAGTAATCTCTCGATTTATCCATTATAACTTGTGAAACATTCTCGACAAGGTCCAGCCCCTCAAGGAGAAAGTGATATTCGGGAGTTCTACGCGCTTGATAATTACTAAATGCTCTTTTGCGTCTCAATAGCGATGGAGCCGGAAGCGATGAATATTCGTGTAGTTGCCTTTCGAAAGAGTGTGAATGCATCATGTCCTCATGAATGTTCAAAATCCCTCTCTGCGCTTCGGCTAGTTGAGGCTTCCGTCATCCATTCGTCACGCGGGTGAACAGTCTCGTGACAAAACAAAACTCTTTGCATTCTTCAAACGTCGTTGATAAATTCTTCATGAGGCGTTTTTAAGACGCGCGTTTCTTCGAATATTCCTTTTCAAAATTTGTCAGAAGGGTCTACTTTCTCAAGAGTAAGTAGAATGGGTTATGATAACGGGTGAGACGCTTTCCAAATTATCTTCGTTTGACAACTTCGGAGAATTCTTGTATTTTTGAGAAATAGTGAGACCGTTAGAAAAATAGCGCGGGGGGCGTCACATTAGTAATCCCAGGGAGCGGCATTTTTTTCTTCATTTCTTTATTTTTGTATTCTCGAGGAGTTGACGATGTTTATACATAACCGTAAACACTCAGGATTTTTCATTTTTACTTCTGAATGAGAGCATTTAATTCGTCAGTAAAATATAACTGAAAAAATAATTGTTTAAGGATATCCAAGTAGTTTGGCTATTTTTTCTCCAGTGAAATGCTTTTCAACTTTTGTAGTCGAACGTCAGAGCTTTTATTTGAGCCCCAGTCACTCTAAGTTTCGGGACAGTTTACAATGATTTTATTATTTAAACTTTGTCGGTCTGAACATTTTAAAAATCTGAATAAAAATCAAGAAGTTTACTTTTGGAGCATTTTATATAAATAGTTTATAAACATTCAGTTGCCCACAATAAAAATCGGTTGTTCGTAATCGTAACACCTGTATTCATATTCAGAATTTTACAAAAAATATATTGACTATGCTGTGAGGAAAGTATTTAATTTTCCACTCGTTTTTACTTATGTGCATACTATTGAAAAAAAAATTGAAATTGTATGGACAGTTTATAAGTATGTAGCTTCCAGGAAAGCGATATTGAATTCGATTCAGAGGAAAAGAACCTCGTAAAACTTCGAATTTCACTGAAAATTCAATGGAATTTCACGTTTCTCACCCTCTGCGGGAACACTGGGGTTACTCAGCACCCCACCACATTTTCGCTTGATTGTCATTCCTGCATAAGTGCACCCCGCGGTGTTTACTCAACGCAGTAATTATGTTCAGGGGCTTCTGAGTATTGTTGGCCCAGCAGAAACCTCAGTTCTGCGTTAGGTGTAGATTGGGGCGAAGATTGTCGTGTCAATTGTCGGTGTTTTTGCGCTCACGTTGCTTCATTCCATTGAGAAATCAACATTGTTCATTACTCAAGCTGGAGTATAGGGTCTCTACGTGAACACCATTTGATTTATCTAATGACTCCAATGGAAAACAAACTACAAAGCTTTTTAGAAATGGATTTTTTTGGGACATTTTTTCTAGTGTTTGAATAAATTTTTCGATACAACCTTGTGTTTATCTTGATAGGCAAGATAATGCATTCACCCTGAAAATTGAAAGTCAACTTTTCATCATACCTTCGGGTTTGAAGGTCTCCTTAACATTCTTAGACCATCTTTAACGGTATGTTTGAGGCCAAAACATATCTGTTTGTGCACATTTATTTTTATAAGGAAGGAACAATGACATACGCAAAGCCCTTGCGGCAAGGACACCTCAAAACTGTTGAGATAAGCCCGAGGACAATTGCATAACCCTTTTACTCCGCCACATCATTAAGTGAGATTGCGGAATATTGACAGATGCCCATACGCAGCAATGGGATCTTCCAAAAATGGCTCGACATTTTAATGAAATAAAACTCTTCATTACAAATTTTATTGATCCAAATAGAGGATTATTACATCTTAATAAATACGTTTTCTTCGTCGTTTTTACAAGATTTTATTCCTAACTACTAATGTTTTTATTCGGATGAAAGAAATCTTTATTTATAGTCAAAGCACTATTTATTCGATTCAAATAATGTTTTTTTTTCATGTTTTTTTTTTCTGAAATTGGCTGAGAAAGGCGGAGGTGGATGATGTAATGAAGTTTAAAGATTTTCAGTAGATTAATCAAAAACGTAACGGTCCGGTAATGGTGGGCTTCTCCAAATTTGTACCCAAATCCCCCAGACACTCCATAATTTATTCATTCCACGCCCTAAGGTATTTCAGTTGTAACAGAACACCTTTTACGATTTCAATGCCCTACGAAGGCGGCGAATGAATTAGTGAGAAACAGTCTTTTCTATCGGTATCAAGCATCGAGGAACTAGTTAGGATCACCCCGAATGCACGGATTTCACAGCAGATCCATAATTCTTGACGGATCAACGTTAAGAAAAAAGCTTGACATTTTACAAAGATGTTTTGATGTTTTTCTTCGTAATTGGAATTTCATATTCGAGTTTAGACATTTTCACAAATAACCTGTTCGGGATGGTCGACTTCCACCGGACTTCCTCCAAAATTTCGTAATGAGTTACTCAACGCATCAGAAACAACGGCAGAAGTGGATGTGTCAACGGGAGATTTAACCTAATCTCAAAGTGTCGAAATTTATCTGACAATTCTTTTCTTTCCGTTTGGGTGTCTCTTCTATTTATTTATTTTGGACAGTGGAAAAGTGAAATCCTACGAAATGACAACCACAACCTGTTGTTCTGCATTCATTCTAGTCAATATCTATTTTTAGATATCTTTGAGAATGTCAGTATGCAGACCATCGATAACTTATGAAGGCATTCTTTTTCATTGAAATACGAGAACAATATAAAGCAATCATGACCTGCAGCAATAATCGTTGAAGGTTACAGCTCCATAGCCCATTAGCATCTATGAACACAAGTGATGATTCTCGTTACCATCAATCAACCAATAACGATAAAAACAAACTCCTCTGAATCGTTAAAAAAACATTCATTTAATATGAATAAGACAGGATACGAGTAGATAGTTAAATATAAACAGTAAGCGCTAGCAGAACTTCAACTAAACTTCGTGTTTAAACTTTATCTAAGGCATCTCCTTCACAGTTTTCCATGAATTTCAAGAGCATGGCGCCTAATGATGACCTCACGACTTTTTACCCCACAAACGTCACTATCGTGGACAAAATTCTCCACAAGGATCGAAAAATAAAGTATCACAAGCCAAGTTTGCATGTCCGTTAACTTGTCTATCAATGTCATTGAAATGTGAGAACGATGTACAGAATGAAAGATCGCAGCTCCATAGCTGATCAACACCTATGAGCACAAGTGACGATTCTCTTTACCATCAATAAACCAATAACAATAAAAATAAACTCCTCTGAATCGTTAAAAAATATTCTTTTAATATAAATAAGGCAGTATACAAAAATACAGTTAACAATAAGCAGTAAGCGCTACTAGAACTTCAACCAAACTTAACAATAAATTCTCAGCACAGACAGCTGGACTAACTTTACAATAATTAAAATGTACAATCCTAACTAATTAGAGAGGTATATTTAGTGGAGCTTGTGCTTAAACTTTACCTAAGGCATCTCCTTCACAGCTTTCCATGAATTTTGAGATATTGAGAGCATCTCACACGAAAAACATATCGGTAAGGCAATGAATCCTTGAATTCTTCATTGATCATGACTCGTAATGATGATTTCACGATTTTTTTATCCCACAAACGTCATTATAGTCGATAAAATTCCCCACAGTGATCGAAAAACCAAGTATCCCAAGACGAGTTTGCATGCCTGATGAATCCAGTACATCCTGAAACGAGAGAATTACTTATTCATCATAAGTTTATGACGAAAATAGACTCATAAAATTTTATAGAGATGCTCACCTCTGCCATTTGACTCTAGCCTCCGGCAGAGTGTCCAGCGGATCTTTGATGAGGTAAACTCGAATGCCTTGGAGATACGTCTGGAAGTATTCGTCCCAAACGAGCTTCTTCATGTCACAGAAGAATAGCTCCTTGTCTTTAGGATCCAACTTCTTGACTAATGCATTCACACGATCGTTTCCAAAGCTCCATTGCTTCGTTGAGAAGTAATTCAGTACGTCCATGAATTTGTGAATTTTCTTGTAGATTTTTAGCAGTCTAGAGGAAGTCAAGATATCATTAATTCATTAATTGCTTTGCTTCGGGATGTTTTGTTTGTGGAATCGAATAAAGCCATTTGAGTTCTTGTTTGCTGTACCAACCTGGGTCGCTTTCCCATGCATACAGTAGCAGCATCAATCAGTAATGCGGGGAGAAGATGGAAGAAGTAGATGAAGAACAAGTGAACGATTCTGTGCTTGTTGTTTCGGAAACTGTAGTACCATATTGCTCTCACTGTGGGGTAGTGAATTCCGTATTTTGCTGACATTACTTTCAGCTCGTCGTAGGTTATTGCATTGTCCTGGGATACGTAATTGTATACTGGAATTTCTGTTCGGGTTCTGAAATCCACAAAATAGTCTTCTTTACTATAAAACGTCATAAAGATTCATTTATTCATTTTTATTTTCAAATGAATTCGTCGCACAATTTTTCTCCAGTTTTTCTCTAATTGCAGGGTAGAAATTTCTTGTCTTCTCAATAGAATCATCATTGACAAATCAGAATTAAGGATTAGCGGTCAAATAGTTTGGATGGATTTCGATACAACTTCACAAAGTTTCATCTTTTATCGATATATATATATATATATATATATATATATATATATATATATATCGATAGTATATCAACAAAATAATGCGAAAGCGGGCAATTGTATATCCTGTAAACATGCAGGGTCATCTATTCACCTGTACGTTTCGGCAATATCCCAGGCACTGGCAAGTAAGGCATTGACAACCATGTCTCCAGGTACCACATTAGCATGGATCGAGCCGTCGCAGTGCAGGGATCTGAGGAGTCCAGTGCCAGCACCTGCTGCTACCCCAGTTGGACCGTACATGTTATCGATCCATCCTCTGACTGGCTCCTTGTACGTGGAAATCACTGGAGACGAAAACCATTCAAATGAAAACGGACTGTTAATCATTTAGGACAGAATTGAGCTTCCTGATTTTTTATGTTTTTTATTTTTCAATGCATTCTTTTCAATGCATTCATTGTACAATTCCGTAATGAAACACATACTTACCAATGGCAGGTCGGAAAATTCCAATCGGCATACTCTCAGCTTCTCTTTGTACTACGTTCTCAGCCACTGCTTTTGTGAAAGCATAGGTGTTGGGCCATTTTCCCAATAATCTGAATGGAGAAATGGAAGCATCATTAATCGCTGAAACAGATTTTAAGAATTGGGTTTAACTGATTTTTAAAGACTTACTGGGGGGTGATTTCCTGAGCGAGAGTTTCGTCCACACATTTCATCACTGTTATCAGTTTATCAGCATCCATCGGGGGAGTGTAGAATTTCTCCTCGATTTTGGTGTGTGTGCAGTATGCATAGGCGGTGGAAACATGTACGAAAGACTGTAAACAACATTTGATTTATTTATTCAAAGGACTTCATTCCGAGTGGAATTGAATGCAAGACAATGCAGAGGTCTCTGAGAATTAATCAAAAGACTTTTTTTGCCCTTGTAGTTCTTCCTGAAAAATATCCTTTGATTAATGTCTTTACACTTCTTCATTGCCAAGATGTTTGCAAAGTACTGAATTCCAGAAGTAAAGTACCATGGATAGTGGCTTTCAGTAAAAATTACTGAGAACTAGAACTTTTCCTCCGATTCTCAGCCAAATTTCACTGGAATCCAGTACTTTTTTCAAAGTCTGTTATTGGAAACCAGAACCTTTTTTCTTTATGTGAACTTCACGATTGAATTGCTAAATCACCTTGAGTTTTGACATTTGTTTCGACATCTGTATCACCTCCCGAAGGCTCTCAATGTTAATAGACACTGCGAGATTGATTTTCTCATCGAAACTGAGGGTTGCTGCCACATGGAATACGATGGAGACTTCTCGTAGGAGAATCTGTCTATCGGTGTCCGAAATTCCGAGATTTGGGAGGGCACAGTCACCCTCGATGGCTACGATTTTGTGACGAAACTTGGGGTATTCTTCCTTCAACCTCTGGAATACCTGGAGACATATAATAAATCAATTAATTCGACTACACAGTTTAGGAGATAATAAATAATGAAATGCGGGCTTCTAACACGCGAGGCATAAAAATTGAAATTTAGTGAAAGTATTCCTTATTTGATTCAAAAAATTAATTAACAAATCATTTCTTATTTGATTCAAACAGTTATTGTTGCCTGCATCAACAACATATGAGAATAGAAAAACTCAAGAACTTATGGGAATGAAATAAATTAAGTTGTTTAGATTTTTTTCCGGAAATCCATAGGGACTAACTTTTGAGTCCGATTGTCTTGGGATGTACCTTAAGGTGTAAGTTACATGGAACGCGGGATGCTATATGCTATCCATTAACTTTCCGGACTTCTATACGAGGGAAGCAGATAAATAATTACAGGGAGAAAATTATTTGGTGAATTTTAACAACTAGTAGTTGAAATTCACCAACTAGTTGTTGAACTTCAACAACTGGTTGTTGAAATTCCCCAACTGGTTGGCAATTCATTTTTTTCAACAACTAGTTGAAATTCACTAAATAATGTTCTCCGTCCATCAATTTTTTTTCCCTGTGCGGGGATCAAAGACTACTGTTCCCACGCGCATCCCAATGCGTATGAAGTGGCGTTCTGCGCACACAGAGTGTACGTAAAATGCAATTTCACCCACAGCGTGATGAAATGTTTCATTTTCCAATAAATTTCCTCAATCTTTCGTCTTTGCATTTACTTACTACATCATCAAAGAGTGCCTCAGTCCTCTCGTGCGTGTCCTTCCCCTTTTTCGGGCGCACCAGAAGATAAATAACCGAGATATTTGGACAGCTCCTCAACAGCTTCTCGATGATCAATTTTCCCAGGAAACCAGTGCCCCCGGTTATGAAAATACTCGACCCAGTGTAGAACTCCTGTATCGGCGTGAGATTGATATCCGATATTCGCGATATCTGGGGTGAATATTCTGTGGGTGTACCCGCCCGTGACCCGTGCTCAGCAACGGCTACATCTTGTCCACCCGACTCGAGCAGTGCCTCGACCATTTTTACGGGCTCGACGGCAGTATCTGAAATGCGGGTAGAGATCAGTCAAGTGGTTTGCAGTCGGATCACGTACGAATAGGACATTCTCATCCTGATCAGCGAATTCCAGTGTCTTGGGGACTTTACAATGAGTTTTGAGTGATTTAAGAGGAAATTTTGATGGATTTTTTATGGGAGGGAGTGAAGAATTGCAAAACTTTCTCACGGTAAAAATAAAGGAGTTGAGTTTAAACTTTAAAGATTGGAATTTTTTCGTTGTAAATTTGTTGTAAATAGCGGTATGACAGTTGCAATAAAATGTCAAGTCATGTTTGATGAAAAAATCAATGGAACACTATAAATTTCAGGGGAATTATTCCATGAAAATTGATTGAAATGAGGGGAATTCAGACGCTTTGATAAATGAAAATGATGATGAAATTTAAAATTTCGTAAAATGTTTAACAATAATTAATCAATGCAGAATAAAAGTCAATTTTTGTTATTAAACAATTCTGTAATGTTCAGAAAATTTACAGAGAATTAAAATTTTTAATTGTTATGGCGATGAAAATTCTTGAAAATTATGCAAATTCAAATTAGCAACTAACATGTGATTCGACTAATGGAAACCCGAATACTCTTGAATTGTCAACATAAATCAAACATTTCGCAAACAATTCGATCTTAAAAATGTCGTACAATTCTCAATTAAATTCCCATAAATTCCCAACAATATAAATAATTCATATCATTAATAAATGATTACCCATTAATCACTTAATCACTATAATCCTGAAATATTTCGTGTGAAAGTTGATCGTGAACTTCCCGCAAGCCCCCCAAAAATTTTGAAGGACCTGTGATGATCGAAAGTTAATATTTGCACGCCCCACATGCGTCTCTCAGCTGCACTCGAGAAAATCTGCTTTCTCCACTTGTCCCTGGGATGAGGTAACTCCATGCATTAAGTAAAAGTGTTTAACCAGAGAGACAATCCAGCCTCCACCAATTTACAACATCAGTAGCGTAAAAAATAAAATTTGCATTCCCATGGAGCTCAAATCCATGGTAATTCATCGCTGATGATATTGGTGTGAAGTGAGGGAATAATAATACCGGAAGTATAATACGTAAAATTGCGGCGAATTGACTAGGAACTTTCACCTGTACGTGCGCAGAAGGAGTGATTGAATGTATGGACAAATGAACATTTATCTCGAGTTCAACGATCCAGTGGAACCGGTCGCATAAGTTTCATTCCCGAATTTGTGTGGATTACAGAGAATAATAGGTTTTTATTTTGAAGGACATATCACTGATTTTCCGGAATCTATCACCAATTATTGGTGATACTGGATACTGAGTAGAATGACCCTGATTATACCAAACAAAACAAGCTTTATTTTTAGAGTTGATTCTCAATTTGAAAATCAATTCAATCAATTCAAGTGTTTCAATTTTAGACTTTCAGGACATCCTGTAAAGAAAAATTTTAAGTTGTGCCCCGAAAGTCTTGACTTGAGGCACTCAAAAGTATCAACTTGAGTCTATGAAAATCGCAAATTAATGACCTTCGAAAGTCTCCAATTAAAATCTTCAAAAGTCTCAACTTGAGATTTTTAAAATTTCTATTAATAACTTGCAAAGTCTCAACTTGAGACTTTCGATGCTCTCAACTTAAGAATTGCAGACCTTTTTTATTCAAGAATTTAACTTATGGTCTTAAATAAATAACCTGAGGTCTTAAATTCAACTCAAGAATTTAAGACCTTTGAAATCTTAAAATAAAGTATTATTTTTGGATGCATCAGTGATATTTATCACTAAAATTTTGTGTTAGATTCCTGATTCTTAGAGACGGGCCCTGGAAATTAGTGACAATTTCACTGGAAATAAGTGATAATGTCACTGAAAATTGGTGACAAAATCATTCAATTTCATAATTTTGCAACCACTAAATTTCATAATAGAGAATCCCTAACAATTGAGGATAAATTCCTGAAAATCCATGACAATCCCGGACAATCAGTAACATGTTGACAAATGAATAGAAAAATTTCCAATAAAGCGTTTTTTTCCGAGCTGAACTGCGTCCTTTCCCATTGATTGAACGAAGAAAAAGAGAAAGATTGAATCAAATTGCAGATTAAACTCCCACAGTCGCAAAATTGAAAATTAAAGTTTAAAGATATATCCTCAATCCATTTCTTTTCCGCGAAGGAATGATGCAACGCGAAATGAAGCGTAAATCAATTCCACGTGCTCTCTTCTCTATTTTTTTCCGCATACTGAGTACCTCTCATTCTGATTGGAGTAAAAGGCCACCGGTGTTTATCCAGCGCTCATTACACGATCTGAAATACGGAAGAGGCCGAACTTCGAACGTTACGTAAACCAGAAGCGGGCCAAGAAGGACCTACTTCCATAGTTTTGCGGAGAACGTTCGATTTGTCACGTCTCTTCGGCGAGAAGAAATCTATAATTGTGACGGTGAAAGAAAGATTTTGGGATTTGCGAGAAATTTTTGAGAAATTTCATCATATTATTGATGAGAAATGAGAATGAGAGTTAACAGAAATTGAATAAACAGTTTTTTATTTTAATTTTTTATTCAAAGAGTCTTTCAACTTTGATTAAGATTAATAATTAAATAATGCTAATTTATAACTGATTGCTTTATCAACTACTGCACTGTTAGATGATAAATTATTCATAGATTTTTTCCCGAATATATTGAAAAGGAAAAGATTCTAAAACAATTGTAAGAAAACCGTTTTGTGTCTGTGGAAGAAAGATTTTGGAATATGGGAGAACTTTTTGAGGAATTCCATTACATTATTGTTAAGAAATGAGAAGATGAATTAACAAAAATTGAATGGACGGTTTTTTATATTAATTTTTTATTCAAAGAGTCTGTTAAATTTGACTAAATCTAATAATTAAATAATATTAATGCGTAACTGATTCATTCATCAACTAATGTACAGTTAGATAATGAATTATTCATAGACTATTCCGCGAATACACTGGAAATGAAAGAATTCTAAAAAATTTATAAGGAAATGATTTTGTCTCTTCGGTGAGAGAAATTTAATCATTATAACGGCCGAAAAAAGATTTTGGGTTTTGCGAGAACTTCTTGAGGATTTCTATGACATATTTGTTAAAAAATGATGAGAAGAATGAACAAAAATTCAATGAACCGTTTTTTATTTCATTTTTTTATTTAAAGTCATTTAAATTTGACTGAAATTGATCATTATTATTCATAAACAAACGCACAGTTAGATAATGAATTATTCATAGATTATTCCGCTAATATACTGAAATAAATGGAATGAAATGAAGGGAATCTATCATATTTATCAGAAAATAATTTGGTGTCAACGTAAATTCTTCGACAATAAATTTTACTACTCCATGATTGAATGGAGATGTGAAGAAAGTGTCATTGACTTCATTCTTGACGCAATGATTACAGAGAATTGATCTACGCGCCCTAGTTTTTCTCACCTGACGTTGACGTAACAGTGATTATTTATGCAATACTAGGAAGCAGATTGTTCATTTGCTGATCCGTGCTAAACCAGTTCTGTTTTTCTCCTAGTTTAATCACACATTTTTTTACAATATAAAAAATTGAGTCTGAAAGTGCTCGATTCGTACCCTTTCGAGGCTGGAGCAATGTTTGGAAGTGAATGCAAGAAAAATTGAGTCTAAACCACAGGCACTCGAATGATCATTCTTTTTTCAATTATGGACGAAGTTATCTCATTCATAAAATACAATCCTATGATGACCCGTGGATAATGAAGAATTCGGTCATTTCATTTGGCCACCGCTGTTGCCAATAGTTTCCCTCGATCATCAGAACAGTTGATTTCATATTGCGTTTCCCTGTCAGTCTAATAAATTACAGAATATTCAGTGCCAAATTACATAGGATTTTCAGTGACATCTGAAAATTCCAGAATATATTTTCCTGAATTTTCTGGTTTTCTATTCATTTTTAGGGAAAATGGAACTGAAATTTACAACTCTCTTTGATTTTTCCACGAAATTCTGAATTTTCATGACGAAATTCGTTGAAGTGTCAGTGGTAATTAAATTCGATGAAAATTTCCAAAAAGTATATCGGAAATTTCAGACAAAAATTTTAACAGTTCGATTGAATTTTCAATGGTACATTAATATTCAGAAACAAAAACACATAAATTGTCAATTTTTCCCTAAATTTTCCAGAATTTTCTAAATTTTTACGAAATAATTGAACTGAAAAATCAAGTATTTTCTTGATTGTCAGATCACTCAAACAGAAAATGAATGGAATATTTGATTTTTCAATGGCAAGATTGCCCGAAACTTCAGTGAAAATTAAACTCGATAAAAATTTCCGAAATGGGTAATTTCTCCCTCCACTAGTGGTTCTACCGCAAAAATTCGTAAAATATCCATAAGAAAGCGTAAAATACAATGCGTTTAAATGCCATCATCAATGTGATATATTATTTTTTACGATACAAGTGAAAAATGTACTGTCTGGCGGAACGTAATCGTAAACAACTACTTTATTTCACTTGTATCGTAATATACTTCAAAAAATTAAATTAAATTACTAAACTTTATCACTTTAAATTTCGTCACTGGGTCAGCTAACGTTCTTCATCACCTGAGCCTTGGCTTAACGGTCCGGGCCCTCTCATCCCGCGCATTTAGAGCTGAATATCGACTTTGGTTTCGAAGAATATTATCGCCTCGGGCTCTTCATTCAGATTACACCGTAAGCCGCATATAATAACGAATCATGTGACGCCGGAGATTTTCACCAGAGGAACCAACTCCTTGTGGGTTGAATGCTCCATAACGGGAGTCTATGTAGATTGAGCATAATTAATGTTTTTATATTAATGGCGAACCTATCCAAGTAATCGATGGAAGACACCAATAAATGTTATCGATTCTAATTTTAAGTCCACATCACTAACCGAATAAATTGCAAAATAAAGAATATTAATGCTAATTGTTTGTATGTTCACAGAGTCCCCAGTGAATTCCACAATTGCGAAAAGAGGATGTAGCAGCTGTGAGAAATGCCTGAAGTCACCTCAAGATGTAAGTAAACTCTAAAACTCTTAAAAAAAACATGAATAAAAATTTAGTAACGTCCATTCATGCGACTTTCACCTCCGGATTCAAAACACTGAATGAAGAGGAATAGAATATGACAGTACATTCACAAAGCCCAAGGACCAACGAGTCGATTTACCAGATGCAATACAAATTTTGCAGATAGAATCTTAAACAAAATTATTGAATAATTGATGCTACTGCTGTTGAAGAATGACGCATCAGTGACGCGTGAAGTTTGAAGGGTGCACTCTCCTTGCCTTTGTATCCTGTATGCAAAACGGCTTGAGATACTCATCCCGACGGGTACAAAGCGTGTGTCCAATTGATTAGCATTATTGACAGCGTATTTATGAATTTTAATGTGGGAAAAACCCCTCAGGCTCCATTCTCTCCGCCCAGATTGACGGTGTCACTTTTAATTGATAGTAATTTCCCTCGATCATCACGGTTCATCAGCGATTTAATTTCAATCGTTAATTATTTAGATAATTATCGCTCACTCGTGCTAATCAGCTTGATTGCTGAATCATTAGGAGAATCTCCGCTGTGAAAATTCTGTTCACAATGTTGGGAGGATTATTTGCAATTGTAATACGTATTCAGCTCATTTTACATTAGTGTCACTTGACCACCACTGGTTTCACCATTTTATTTGTTCGTGTGGGAGTGCATTTTGTTATCGGAGGTATTAGTCTCTTGGACTATTGCGGAACCCGATAAATTAGTGGTGCATTACTTTTAGGGGGAAATTTTCCACGAGAGTTTCGAGATCCGTGAAGAAATATCACGTACGTAACAATTCCATTGGAAATTAAATTGAAATGCACACGATAAATTAGTGGTGCAGGTTTAGGGAGAAGTGCCTCCGGAGAGTTTCAAGATCCGTGAGGAAATATCGTGAACGTAACATTTTCATTGGAAATTCAATTCTATTGTAGTTGTATTAAATTTATGGTACGAAATTCCGCGGTTTCACTGAAATTTCAAGGGATTTCGTCATTGAAAATTCACAATTCAATGAAAAAATTGATGGGAGCTGTCAATTTTAGTACAATTATTCCGTGGAAATGAAGGAAAATCAATTAAATTTGGGAAGGTATCCTGGAATTTTCAATTAATTGACAAATGAAAATAATTTACTGCAAAATATTCATGTTTTGTTTGAAACTTTAATGAAAACATGACATCCTATTGCATTTCTATCAGATTTTCTTAAATGGAAATGTTCAAAAGAAAATATCGCATACAATATTAAAAATATTTATGTGAAATGTCATATCAAGTGACAGTTTCATTGAAATTACAAGGGATTTCGTCATTACCAATTTACAATTTGGAAAAAATTGATGGAAACTGTACATTTTAAATCAATTATTTAATGCAAATGAATAAAAATCAATTGAATGCAGGTGAATATATTCTCGTCTAATCAATCAACTGAAAATTCAGCGAAATTTGGCAGTAAATGTTCACGTTTCAATTCTAAATTCAAATAATTTTCGAAATTCTCGTCTTCCTGCAGCTCAAAAATTCGGAATTCTATTTAATTTTCAATGAAATCTGAAACTCCCTGATTTTTTCAACTGTCAATGACATTTCGATTATTTTTCTATTAGTGTAATCACAATAAATAGAACAAATGGTTTAAAAATATCATAATCTATTGATTTCGTAATTTCCAATGGAATTCTTTTCCTGAAGCAATTTTCGAAATAAAGCCTTGAGACTATTCAATATTCTTACAAACTTGATTAGACTATGAACAAATGTCATTCGTTATCTAGACCAACATCTCATAATTTCCAATTCACAAAATAATATTAGAGACATGAAAAAACACCGGAAATTTTCGAAATACTCTTCGAGTGGATCGTCTCTCGCAAAACCGCCAATGCGTCATTTCTTTATCGTGCAATACGACCACAAGTACAACTATTTCCACTCAACAAGCATTACCGAAGAGTGCGCAGTAGTTTCCAGACAAAAGATAATTCCAAATATTAAAGTTGAAATTACTGACATAAAAGGGATTCAGCGCCCCGTGTGTCATATTAACCATGAATTATACTAAAAATGTGAGACTCGGCTTAATAAATAATGCAGATAGTGTTTTGCACGGGATACGTTGAGCAACTCACTGAGGACTCGTCAATATCATCGTTGTATCGCTGAGTGACAATCTAAAACCGAAAACTTCTGCAATAGACGAAAATTGACGCCTGTTATTTGATAGTTTGTCCTCGGGCAGTGGCGCGTGTTGTCTGGCATCGATAGCAACGAGAGTGTAACCGTGAACACGATGAAAATATTTAGAGGAATAGTACCAATGGTTGAACCTGAATCATGAATCGAACAAAAGAAATTCAAGGAATTCTCGGGCGTTTCGAATCGTGACGACAATTCGGAGTTACGATACAGCCGGGCACGTTCGAATTTTCAATTGTTGGTGACGAGAGGAGATACTTTTGCGCGGACAATTACTGGCGGGGAAAGAAGTGGAGGGAAAATTACGGAAAAAGTCGAGCAATCGGGAGAAAAATGCGAAACGAACGGTGAATGTTCTTCGTTCGCTCCGAAAAAATTGGTAATTGTCAGGTTATTTATTCTGAAGTGGACGGATTTTAGACAGAATTATGCTAGGGAATGCAAACGTTTGGAATTTTGACGAGAGTGACTTGAATTCGTTTTAGTGAAAAAAATCTTGAAATAAATTCATAAAATAGATTTTTTTAATAGATTTTTTAAAATTTTTGTTGGATTTCACTAAAAATCCAATGAAATTGGGATTTTCGAGCAATAGGAAAACGAGATTACTCCAACCAGGTTGAATTTTCAATCGAAATATGAATAATCAAGACCAAATCATTAGTGAAACTGTAAAACGGTTCAAGTCGATTTAGCCGTTAACTGTTTTCGAGGAATATCTCCGAATCTAAGGGAGATACCGAAATTTTTGTTATGACCTCTTTTGTAGAGTCAATTAAGGACTACAAGAAAGGTTTTGACACAATTTTGGCTATCTCTCTTAGATTTCGAGATATTCAATGAAAACGAAATGACGCTGAGTGTTCGTGATTTCTAATACGTTTTTTGGGATAATTTAATTAAAATGAACAATTTCCCTTAATTATTCCTAAACAATTTGAATTTTTTATAAAGAAATTCCTTGGTTTTTCAGTAAAACAATGACACGGTGAGAATTTCCAAAAGTGTGCAGAAGTTTCACGCAAAAATGATTAACAGTACGATGACCGGTCAGGCAGTAAAATTCGCGGAGGCTTTGTGAATAAGTTTTCCTCTCCTCTATGTACATCGTAAAATATCGTAATGAGAATATTTTCTTTATTCTTATTGTGAGGAAGTTCACCGTTAAAGAACAATAAGAAATTCTTGGACAGGTGATTACTATTTTCAGGAGAGTAGTATTAAATTCCTTTTAGCCAGAAAAAAATCATGAAATTGTCGATTTCCCTGAAAATTCATTAGAAATGCGAATTCTTAAATTTGCTTGAATTTTCGATCAAAACTTGAATAATCACAACCGAACTACGCTGAATTATTCTGTTTCATTGAATAATTAAGTTAAAAAGAACAGTTTCCATCGGTTTTCCACAAAATGTTAACTTCCCAACACCGAAATTTGATTAAATTTCAGTGGAGCCATAATATGACTGCAATTTACAAGAAATGTCCTAGTGATCCCAGCAGAACATGATAGGATAATAAAAAAACTTAAACTTGTTTGAATTTTCGATCAAAACATGAGTATCCAGAACCAAACTGCGCTGAATAATTTTTTTCATTGAATAATTAAATTAAAAAGAACAGTTTCCATCGATTTTTCCACTAAATTCCTAACACCGAAATTGAATAAAATTTGAGTGGAGCCATAATATGACTGAAATTTACAAGAAATGTACTATTAATCCCAGCAGAAAATGATAGGATAGTAAATCACCGCGAGGTGGTGTGACTAATCTTCCTGCATCTTCTGCCCATGCACTTTCGCTGGAATCGCGATAATGCGAGCTATTAGAGCCATTAATGGGGACTTAATTATGAGGTTCCGAGAGTTATCAAGGTTTTGATCAACTCATCGACTCGTGACAATGTAATTGTGATTGTTCTGATGCATCTAGTCATTGGAAACGCGCTTGTTTGCGTAATTATTATTCTCTGGGATCAGTGAGACACTTCGGGTTTAGGATTTTAATGTTGACGTTTTGAATTACATTTACGATTAGGTTTCACTCACCTTATTCGTGCCAAAGCCAAAAGCCTCGCAGTGCGTTCCCTATCGCACTTTCTCCAAGGTCTTCTGTTTGTTCTTCACTCGCGAGTTAAAAAAACTAATTTCTTCGGTGAAATTTTGAAGATGACAATTACTCAAATCGCTTTTTTTCGAGGCACTTCGTTGTTTCCAGATTTTCTGAATTTTTTCTTTGGAGAATTTCCTAGACGGTTGGAAAATGGGTGAGGAGTCCCCGATTTTTTGAAAATTGTGATGCAGTCCTCTTTCGACACTAGACACACGGGAATATCTTCGCCGTGAAGAGGTCAACCACGATGTGGACTAACTACTTGTGGTACCTGTGCTCAACTGAGCCCGAGGGAGGGAGTATTGGGTAATGGGTGGGGATTCAACACCTTGTGCTCTGTATTCCTGCTTGGCTGTCAGTTGGATTCAAATGACTAGACCCTTCCTCTCCCACTTCCTTTCTTCTTTTTGATAAGGAAATTACACCTCTAATGTGCATGGAGGAAAAAGTTTCCTGACATCAAGAACTGGGTTCTTAAAATAAGAACCGTTGGGGGTAACTCAATTGTGGCGTAACACGTAACATTTTTTTAACATTCATTGTTTATAAATGAATAAGTAAAATTGTTTAACCTTCCGGGAACTTTATTTTTTTAGAAGAAATGAATTTTATGGTGGAAAATTGATTGTTTATAAATTATTGATAGAAAACGCTTGTAAAGTACCATGGATACCGGATTTCAGTAAAAATGGCTAGAACTTTTTCTCTGATTCTCAGAGAAATTTCACTGGAAACTGCAAACTGTTACCGCAAACCAGAAACTTCCTTCTCTGTGTAGTTTGATTGAGATTTTCAGACTTTCAGACTTTCAGACTTTTGAGACAAAAAATTCCTGAAGTCTTGACGTTTTGAGTTGAAAAAGTTGAATGTGGAATTTACATGACATTTATATTATATTTATATTATATTTATAGTAGCGAAGTGGTAAAACGGTACGAGTCAATTTTGACTATTGACTTTTCAATGAATATCTCAGAATCTAAGGGAGATAGCGGAATTTTTATTATAACCTTTTTTGTAGAGCCGATTGAGTGCTACAACAAATGTAATTACGAAAATTTCGTGATCTCTCTTAGATTCGGAAATATTCCTCAAAAACTCAACAGTCGACTTGAACCGTCTTACCACTTCTCGACTGATATTCTTTTTTTTATTTCCAAGAAGTTAATTTCGTGGACATGTTTCAAAAACTTATGAACAAAAAATTTTTTCCAACATGTCATGCACGAGAATTCCTAATTAAACTGATAGAAACTGTCATAATTAACGAGTTTCAAATGGTCTCGTGTTTATAACGAGAAATATGTATGCAAATGGAACTGTAATTGTTCAGAAGTGCTTAACTAAAAAAAAGTCAATTGCGTGGACATTAAACGGAAAATATCATAAACGGTTTATTTTTAAATTTGATTCAACTTCACATTGAGATGCAGCTGCTACTTAAATCTAAAATAACTTCCAACAATGTAGTTAATTTCCAATTGTTACGTAACCACACTAATATGTTTTTGTTTTATTTTAACGACACAAATTGAGGTTTTTCATTCAAATCTTTCGACCATTATATGGAAACTGATAGACTCTGGTCTTGGATTCAAAAGATGACAGGAGTGCTGGAGTACATGACCACATTATTTACAATTCATTCGCACTGGTCGTCAAATTGAAATGATCCTCACCTTGCAATGATGCACCGAATGGCTGCAGTCTCCATTGGTGGACTTGATGATTTTCACGGAAATGCAATACTCAGGGAATGAATATGTATTCTATACTATTTTCCATAGTTATTTCAAGTCTTGAGACTTCCGAGAGTGATTTAAAGATGGAGTTTGATAGCTACGAAAAAAAGTGAAGATAAAAACTTGTTTGTTATTACGAGAATTTAGAATGAGTTATGCAGAAATGATTTAGAATGAAACGATAAGGAAGCAAGTAGAATTATCAATCGAAGTGCAATGGAATTTCCTGGATTAATCTGCAGAACCGGAAAGTTGATGATTGATCGATTCATTTTTTTTCCAATTTATTCCTATGGAAACCAATTCGTCTTGATAAAATTTCACTGCTAATCGATATGATTATTTCAAAGAGTTGTTTATCTCAGATGCTGAGGGAATGCATATGTACTCTATTCTATTTTCCACTGTTATTTGAAGTACTGAGACTTCCGAGGGTGATTTAAATATGGAGTTTGACACCTATGGAAAAAGTGAAGATAAAAACTTGTCTTTTATTGCGAGAATTTAACATGCGTTATGCAGAAGTGATTAACAATGAAACGAGAAGGAAACGAATAGAATTACGAGCAGAATTGCGAGGGAATTTTCTGAATGAATCTGTGGAACCAAAAAGTTCATAATTGATGAATTAATTTGTTTTCGCAATTAATTCCTATGGAATTTCCGTCATACTGCTAATCTATATAAGAGTTATTTACAACAGACTTGCTTAGGAGAATCATTTCGAACTCAATTATTTTCTCCAAGTTCAATTCCTTTCATGAATAAAGGCAACAATCCTTAATTCCCTATGCTTCTTACGTTCGAATGCAATGAAAGTCATCTGGATAATTACGAAAAATCTGACGCACATGCAAATTGGTCGGAAATTACTGAACTTGACGCTATTGAGCTAATCGGTGGAAATTCTCCTTGAAAAAGTGATGGATGATAAAAAAATGACCAGAGATATTCACAATGTCACTTTCGATTTATACTCCAATGGTCCCTGTGCCGCAGACTGGTCAAGGATAATGACGGAATCATTTGGGATGATTTTTCTTATCATCTTCAATCCATTGTTTTAATTGTGACGCGTGTCATTGTATTAGGCTCGAAATTATTGTTGTTGTTATGCAGATTTATGATAGAAAGAATGTCAAGAAATCTTGGTTGTACTGCTAATTAATTTAATTCGACTTGATTGTTGTGTAATTTTTATAACAAACCACTCTAAACGCCAAAATGATCAGGGTGGAGATGTTTAATCGTGGAATTAATTACTAAACATCTCTAAATCAGCAGTGGATCCGTACGAAAATGTAAAAGGTTCTTGGATATCTTTGAGACTGAATTCTTGAAATTCTTTCAAGGACGCTGTGAGGTACGTAATGACGTAATCATCTGAAAGCAGAGTTATTCTATCCTGTTCAATTAATCGTTTTTATTGTTGCAATTGAATTGACATTCAACAGCTGATCAGAAGACATCTTTAACAATTGTCGGCGGACATAATTAAGGCAGAATTCGTGGGATTTGCTCAAGGAGACTGTTATTTAACTAAACAACGATTGATTCATGAGATAGTGCCAGTTGAAGTCTGGATGTTTACGCGGGGAAAAAAGTTGGAGAAAAATTACCGAACAAGTCAAGTGATCGGGGAGCGAGCGCGATTTGAAGTATTTTTCACCCTAAGATCGGGGAAAAAGTGCGAGACGAATAGTGAATTTGTCCCGAAACTATAAACTTTACCCTGCATTCCATCAAAAATTATACCAGTGAACGTAAATGATTACTTAATATTGCGTATAATTTTTCTGTAACGAAAAATCATTTTTTATCGAACGCGTTGTTTACTGTACAGGAGGATAATTTTTGCATCCATAGATGTATTTTTTTTAACGAAGGAATCGTAAAGTATCTTTCACAAACAGGCATTTTTCCATTGAATTAAATTTCGCTGCATAATTACCTTTCGTACGGTAAAATTTGCCACAATTTTCTAGGCAATTTTCATCCCACTTTTCTCTCCATGCAGAAGCAGAATCATACATTCCATGAGAGTTTTGAGTTGCTAAAAAAACTCGTAGGAATATATCCAAAGTTACAATCTCCTTAAGACCCATTATTTAAATTTAACTCTATTTACAAAGCATGATTCTCGTATTTTTCATGTTCTTTTTCAATGTCTCGTCTCCTTCACTCGTTGTCATTGTTGATAGGGGATATATGTTCCCACAGGCAAGCATACACTCCTCTTATCCATTTTTAGACTCAAAGATTATCAGCAGAGTAAACAAAACTTGAGACCTTGTATTATGAAAACATTGAATGTCCTGTCGCTTCTCAATTCTCAATTCTTTTCTCTCTATCGTCGACTCGGGCTTCTACGTCTCAGGCATCAAAGATCATGAAGTGAAAAAACCCAGAAGGAATTTTTTTAGAATTGAGAATAATCGAGACATGATTGAACTCTAATTGTCAACAGAAACGTGTCAATATCATAGACTTTGTGTAGTTTAACATACTACGCTTGAAAGTTCGTTCGTCATCGTTTTGTTCATACGTGACTCAATTTCAAATTTACATCTCGCTCTCTATAGGAGAAGGCGCGACGTCTGCATAAAAGGAATGAGCAAACTTCATGGATAAATTACGATTAAATACTTGTGAATTGGGCATATTTCATTCGTGGTAATTTACAAATTGAGGATCTCGTAATTGACGAATTTTTAGGTACAATTTCTTCGACTTTTGCCGCATTCTTCACGTGATTTGAGACGAAAATTGTCTGGTGGTCTGCGGTTATGCACATTCTTCGTTTTGTAAAGGAGTGAGAACAATAGGTGATTTTAGGAGAAAATATTGGGTTCTTTTCTGAAGGAGAGATGATTTCCTATGAAATCACTGATTACTGAGTTGATAGAGAATTAATTACAGAGATGTCTAATGTTTGTTTAATGTTATGTTTCGGTTTTTTTTTCATTAAAAAATTTTATTTGTTATATTGTTTTCTAGAATTTTCTACAATTCTATAATTTTCTATAAAGGTCAGAAGATATTTGTTTGAAGAGAAGAAAATGTCCGACAAAAAAGGTTTTTTCTATTTATCCTCATACAATAAGGAGATTATCTACTCGATGAATAACTTCAAGTAGAAATGTCAAAAACCCTCGGATGTAGAGGACTAATTTTTCTGGAGAAGAGAACTCTCAGTATTTTCTCCCAAAATTCTTCGTCACTAAAAAATTGTATTTTTCAACCTTATTCAATCACTTCTCCACGAAATCAAATACGAATTTGCGATCATGATCAGTTCATAAAATAAATCTACTTTTAAAAAATACGAAAATTAAAACTCCCTCAAACTGCATGACATGCTTGATTTTGGGCTTCGTCTGCTGATCCAGACAATTGAAGTACGAATCGTTCATGGAATGAGCGTACGGGGAATTCCAGTCAGGGGAATATTTCCTCCAGTTGGTTTTAGAGGAAGTGTCAGAAGACATTCTTTGAAGAGAAGGAAATTCCCTACACACAAATTTTTTATTCATTCTCATAAAATAAGAGAATTATGTTAGAAGAGGATTAGAGTTCCTGCAGGAACTAACTGTTCGCGTTGTCTCTCAAGCTTCTTTCGCCACTTTTCCATGTAATCAAATGCGAATTTGAGATCATGATCAATTAAAAAAATGAAACAATTTTAAAAAATACTAAAAAATTTTGCAGACGAAAAAGGATTTTATTTATTCACATATCTGTGGTCAATTGGTAAACTAAGATAATTACATTTTTTCGAAAATGTGTTTTTTTGGTTAAATCGCTTTCCAACAATCTGTGGAAGCGATTTGGCAAATCAAACGTTCTTCGAAAAAAATGCACTTATCCTAGTTTATTAATTCACGACAGATATAATAAAAGAATTATCCTCTTGATGAACGACTCTATCCCTGGAAAATTCGTATTTCCCAAGCTCATTTCACCACACAGAGAGAAATATTGAATAAAAATTACGTATCTTTTCCGTAATTTCGGAGCGAAATGTTGTAGGAAATTTTACGGAACTGTCACAGAATTTTTCCAGAGCGTTCCGTAATTTTTATCTGAATCTCCCATGAAAAAATACGATACCGTCACTTAAATTTTCTGAGTCGATTCCGCAATCGATGAGCGAATTGTGAGTTCCTGAATATTTCTCTCCGAGCACTTTTCCGCGAAATCAAATGCGAATTTGAGATCATGGTCAAATCAAAAAATAAACTACTGAGAAAAATCCTAAAAAAAATTGTTTTGTATCCTAGCTACGCCCTGATATGGTGGCTCTGAAACGGCATGAAGTGATTGATTTTGGGCTTCGTCTGCTCCTCCCGACGATTGAAGCAGGATGCGTTCATGGAATGAGCGTACGGGGAATTCCAGTCTCGGAGAAATATTTCCTCCAGCTGCTGACGAATACTGTGGTTGTTGTTGTGATCAGCATCCTCAAACACCATCCCAATACCTTAAACACCACAATTTCAATTCTTCAACAATTTTTTCTCCATTTATTTTCAAATCTATCAGCTCCGATCGTTTGAGTCGAGTGTTTTTTTCACTCTTTGATCATTGAAAATTGCTATTACCAGCAGTATTGATGAAATAATCACCAGACCAATTGCTAGTGCCAATATACGCGGCAATATCTGTCACCATATATTTATTGTGATTCACTCGCGCAAATGGAATTTTGTCCAGATCTGCATTCGTTGGGACGATAAATCTTTTCTGGAAAAGAGGAAAAAAGGGGGACGTGAATGTCGTTACACTCGGATTAATTTTGCTCCCGCAGTTGGAGGATAGAAATTTTTACGGGATATTTACCACTTCGATTCTCACGTTTTTGTAAGAATTGGTGAGATCCATCAGTGATTTGAGGAATGTGTCCTCAGAGGGTCTCGAGTGCTTCCACCAGGATATCAACAGTCTCACTGTGATTCGTCTGTCAATGGAAGCCGAGCGCAGTGCGTCGTCTATCACTGGCCAGTATTTTACCTTCGTTGTGTAGATGGTCAGGGGAAAGTAATCCATTACTGATATGTAGACGAATTTCTCGGCTTTATCGATGCAGTGGAGAATTGCATCGATATCGTTTGTGCGTCCCTTTGGGGATAATGGGGGTGGTGAACTCTGCAGAAATAAATTATTCCCATTCATCGTCTGGTCGAATTAATTTATTCATTAATTTATTTCATTCAAAATGGGGAAATCAATTCATTTGAGAAGTGGTTGAAGGAAATTTTTGCTTGAAAGATGGCTCTTGATGGGAGATTTTAAATTTTTTTTCTATTCACTGAAGAAAAAATATGGATACACTGCGAGAAAAAATTAGGTATGTCGAAAAATTAGATGTCATACGTGAGAATATTTGATGGAGTGGAATCGATTTCCTTGAGGGAACTTAACCAACTTGATACAAGACAATTTGATATCTTCCACAGAAATTGAATTTTTGTCGTGATCATGAGTAATATCTCTAGAATAATTCGAAGTGTCGGCAGGAAAGAAAATAATATATTGTTATTTAATGTAAAATTAGTGATTTAGCATAAAATTCATAAATTCGCATTTCTGTTCATTACTTTATCGAATCAATCTATTCATTAGTTTCTCTAATTGGGAATTGGATTGAGTTGTAAAAGAGTTGAACGAAATTCCACTTGAATGTTTCAAAGGAGTTTTTAGATGTTTTTTTATTATTCATAAAATATTATCTCGATATAAGATACCTGCAAGACAGTAGAAACCAAGAAATTTCTATTGTTTTTCACGTTTTTTATGCAGAGATTACCCACTGATAATGAAATAATGAATGAAATAATAGATGAAAATAATAACAAATGAATTATCAAGACTAGTAAATCATTTCGTTTTACTCACAGCAATGAAACTCTTATATTTATTATCATCTAGCGTAAAATTCATTGTTCTATTAACATTGATTTTTGTACTGAGTGCATCAGGCCAAGTGGCGGGCACTTTCCCCTCCTTCCCGAGCTGCCAATAAACCTGTGGAGCAAAGGAAAATCGATGGAAAAAAAAATCATCAACTATTCAGGTCATAGCCATTTCCGTTCCATTCAAAAATCGCCCTGAATGACTATTGACTTTTACGTTTACCTCGAAAATCTTGGCAAGATCATTAGCGAGACACGAGCAATTCATGGCGACGAGACCGAGTTCTTTCACTTGCGTGAGAGACCTCCAGTCCATGTTGGCAGAGCCGACGTAAACGTGGGTACGGTCAATCAGCCATAATTTCGTGTGAAGAACGCCGCCTCCTAGTAATCCAGCGAAATTCAAACTCCTCACCTATTGAAATGGAAATTTGATAGATTTTTTGGGGGATAATTATCTGGGGCGAGAGGACAGATCGATTTATTACCTCTGCGTGGGCTTTTTTCGTTAGGTATTCACTGTCGACGTTGGGATTTGATTGGCTGGGAGCATTTTGTGCTATTTTTATGGAGATTCCTCGGTTCCTGCCCGCATCCACGAGGGCATCGAACACATCTTCTCCCTTTGAATAATTGATGAATAATCTATTTTTACTTGAAATAAGTAAATTTTTTTTCAATTTTTGGAGATTTTTTTTTAATGAATAGTTGGAAATATTTTTTATTTATTTTATTCATTTATCTCTGTGGTGTTCTTCGTGTGCGACGTTTCACACTTTTTTAATGGATAGTTTTTATTCCTAAGAAAATGTATGTCACTGAGAGAAAAGTTGGATAAAAATTACTTAGGAAATCGCGGCACATTTTACCTGTGGTAAAAATACGTGTTTGTGGTGAATATTTCACGGTTCGTTCGGTAAGAAAAACACTTCTATGGATGTAAAAATTATCCTCCTGTAAAGAAAAATTTCCCACACTTGTTCGACTTGTTCGGTAATTTTTCTCTAACATTTCTCTCCGTGTACATTTCTTGGAAATTCCTATCGCGTTATAGTTTCACTGAAATTTCAGGAAATCTTGTCACTGAAAAATCAAATTGAATTTAAATGGAAATATTGAAAATTCATGTCATTTTATTTCTAAATGTTCACTAAATGGTTCGTTTCATGTTCCACTGAAAATGCAAACAAAGTATGAAATCACCATCTCATTCCCACTGAAAATTCATAAATTTCTTTGAATTCTACTTAAAATTTGGAATTTCATAACCATTTTTCCCTTAAATCGGATTCAATGTCTCTCCTGAAGATGATTAATAACTTTTTTCTTTTACTAATAAGTCAACTGTCCATGAAATTTCAATTATTCTTTCAAACCGAGCAGAACCCGGAGTTTCTGAACACGACTAAGAACTAGAAACTCTTAATCTCCGTAAAGTTTTCTTTTCCGAAATATCTGCCAACATTTGTCCCCCGAAAGATTAATTTCGCACTGAACTATAAATTATGAACTGAATCGCAAGCTGATCTCCTTCACTATTTATTCCGCAGTAGTTAATGAGGAAATTTTGTTCGATAATTCAGTTCATTATAGCCGTAACTTGTTGAATGAAAAACAATTAAAAAGCACTCACGTCTTTAGCACTGTCATCGGGATAGACATCCTCCCTATTCATGGTCCAATAAAGGGCAGCAATTTCAATGGTGCTCTCGGCCGAGTTTATAAGATCCATCCACGTGAGATAAGTACTCTTATGAACAACTGAATTGTTATCGTATATGAGGCCAACGGGTATTGACTCCACCAGCGATATTTTACAGCCATTCATGCACATGAATTCCGAGTCATTTCTGGAATTGCTGAAGTGTTTGGGCTCTGCGTGATCTAAGAGGGGCAGGAGAACTACGAGGACTATTAGGACGAGAATTATACTGATGGGTATGCAGCTGGGGCGACACCAGCCTTGCGCTCCCCACCTTAAAATTGCAAATACATGGATTAATTTTACCGAAGGGATATTTTTTAAAGGGGTCATTGCATTGGATTAAATTTAACAAATCAATAGGTTAGAAAAGATAAAAAATGAACAAAAAATATCAGATACCTAATTATTTATTTAGACTGATTTGGAAAAGTTAAAAAAAAATACAGTAAATTAATGAAATCTCTCCATTCATATTCAGCAATGAAAGAATATGCATGCAAAATTTCAGTTATGCAATTCCTCAGAAATGTAATTTTTTTTTGCGGATGAAGCGAGAGTTTCTTTTCCAGTAACTCCTTAACGAGATAACTTTATAATTGCAAATATATCATATCGACTTGAAACGAAATTAATGTTTCAACTACTTCGAATTGAATTACTTTGAGTGCGTAAGGTGGTCGTCAAAGTCATTCCTCAGCATGAACCCGGAGTGGTCCCACAGCTCCAAATCGTCTTCCGTTGGTGGCGAAGTTGCATCGAGTCTAGCATTCTCAGAAACTGTCTGTAAACAGCATGAATCCTGATGAACAATTAATAAATTCGCTATTAAATTGGATTTTCGTTCGGAAATAAACGGAGACGAATGGAGTCGGCCATTCACCGTTTGTAAAATTATTAACATTGCAAAAAAAAAATAATACTCAAATTTGTATTTTTTTATTTTGCATTTATTTCTAATATTCTTATGGGGAAAGAATCGTTTAGCTGATCTATCACACTTTTATTTACGGTAATTTTTTATTCGCGGACATCACAAAGATATTGAATTATCTTAAATTAATTTTACAGAATAAAACGCAATTTCTTAAATATTCCGAATTCTTCTCCTTTTTCGGTGATAAACCCCCACTTTTCTCTTCCGTATCTCCCTTAAAATCAATGATATTCAATAATCGAGTCACCACCATTTCAAAAGAAAGAAAAAGTAATTGAAATAGAAACTTCTAATGGAAGATTTTACATTCATTTTAAATCTTATTATTTTTAAAAAATTATCGCATTTTGTATTTCATCAATTTTCATAATATTTCCATTGTATTTTCTCTTGATAATAATTAGACAATTAATCTACTGCACTTTTATTCCCGTGTAATATAACGATATTGAATTCTCATAAATTAATTCGACAGAATAAAATGAAATTTCCTAAACAGTCCAACCACTTCACCTTTTTCGTTAATAGACCCCCATTTTTCTCTCCCATATCTCTCTTGAAATCAATGATATTTAATAACCCGGTCACGATCATTTCAAAAGAAAGAAAAATTTCAGTAATTGAAATAAAAAGTTTAATCGAAGATTTTAACAATGATCGCATTTTGTATTTCACCAATTCCCATAATATTCCCATTATATTTTGTCTTCATAATAATTAGACAACTAATTATTACACTTTTATTCCCGTTTAATATAACGATATTCAATTCTCATAAATTAATTCTACAGAATAAAATTAAATTTCCCAAACATTCCAACCACTTCACCTTTTTCGTTGATAAATCCCCATTTTTCTTTCCCGTATCTCCCTTGAAATTAATGACATTCAATAATCGAGTCACGACCATTGCAGATTAAAAATAATAAAAAATGCTATCAGAATAAAATTCCTAATCGAGTATTTCCGACAAATGTCTGCTCCAATCCCTTTGTTTACGAGTTAAAGTAGCGATAACATCGGTGCCACAGGTTGTTTCGAGCGCTAGCTATAGACAGTGGGTCAATGCACGCTGGAATGCACTGCAACTGCACCCACTCAACACACTCAAAACTTTTAGGTTAGAGCCGATGCACTGTTTGTAAACACAGAACTCATTTACCGCGATAACTCGTAATTTGAAATTCCTCGGGTGACAATCGGGCAATTTTCCGCGATAGTCTCGTATCGGGTTCGGGTTTGAGAGAAGTCTGTTCCTCGCTTTTGCGACTACACTGATACCGCACACTGCAATGTGCAGTGACTTATCTGCGGTTTACAAACGCATCAACTTTCTCGAGAGTCTCGTTACTCTCTGATTAATTGGTTTTTAATTGTGATGATTTTTACAACGCGATTAAACATCAATTCATCCGGAAATTGAGATAAAAACGAGTTTATTGAATATTTTTTTGTTTGTTTATTGAACTAATGAGTGAATTATCAAGTTTTAATTGCTCGGGATCATGGGGAGCAGTAGATACACTCCTGAATCTCCCCCCTTTATATGGAGTTCGGTTTCGCGTTGCGAAAATGAGGAATTTTGCGTTCGTTCGTCGAAAATAAATACTTTCACTTTCGATGGGTCTCATTCTGTTCCGAATTAATGGCTCTCCTACGGAGTGGTTTCGGTGGGTCCTAAGGGTTTCAAGGACGCGGGGAATTTTATTATCGACTGGAGAGATTCCTCCTTTTGGGGGAGGTTCGGTAGGTGAACGACAGATGGCTTCACGAGTGTTAGAAACGCGTGAAAATTTAAGGCATTATCAGTATAAATCTTTCCGTAATTTAATCGGTTAATTATTGCTAGAGATAATTCAGTAAGATTGGGATTTTCTCTGAATCAAAAATGACATTCATGTCTGTTCATTTGTCGTCCAATTTCCTCCTTTCAATCTATTGCTAAAATAGAGAACTTGCATCAATTGTTTAAAATTTTTTAGTTGTAAATTATTCAAATGCTTCTGGGCCATGTTTCGGTCAGCAGCAGTAATCAATACAAAAAATTTGTGAACTCGGTTAATTGCACTACGTTTCGAATGCACAAAGCATTTGTCTTCAGGTGCATTTATTATTCTAAATTAAAACGAAATTAAGAAAATGTTCTTTGGGAATTCATTTCTAGCTGTCATCTGACGACGTAAACAAACAGCCATACCATTCTGTCATGTTAATCGGATGAAGTCTGACAGTCAACTTCATCCGACTTGACTGTCAGACTTCAGGGGATTATTCTATTCTATTAGGATTTTCTCTGAGTGTATACATTTTGAAATGCACAATTAGAAATTAATAATTAATAATTCGAAATTTCAAGGCAATTCCCGTCTGACCTTTAAATTTTTTTAAACAATCTCCTCCTCACACGGAATTGCAATCGAATTATTCCGTTCTTCACTGAAATTCCCGAAAAGGGAATCCACATGATTACCAAACAATTTTTTAATAGAAAAGCCGCTCGCCACACGGAGAGAAATATTCAATAAAACATACGTATCTTTTCCGTAATTCCGGAGCGAAATGTGGTTGTAGAAAATGTTACGGAACTGTCACGGAATTTTTCGAGAGCGTTCCGTAATTTTTATCTGAATCTCCTGTGAAAAATTACGATACCGTCACTTAAATTCTCTGAGTCGATTCCGTAATCGGCGAGCGGATTGTGAGTTCCGTAATTTTTACTGAACATTTCTCTCCGTTTCATGAACCAAACGTAAAAATTCAAAAATGGCAACTGCTTCCCTACCGACCAATTGAATTCAAACTTTTTGACCGAGGCCCCCCTTCACCCCATCTAGAGCTCCTTAAAAACTTGTCGAATTAAAACTCCATTAGCCTCTCATGAAGAATTCATCGACACTCAAAGACTCTCTTCTTCCTCAATAATAACCCTTTTTTACCCTCGCCAGCCATTATGTCTCCCCATCTGCGTTCGCTGGGGGTTCGTCCAGTGGAGGAAAAGGCGTCCGATATCTCCTAATTCCATTTTAAAATCGAATTAGCCGAGCTTTCACGTCGTCCTTTGGTCAGGAGACGACGTGCAGAAATAACCTCTTCCCNCCGCCCCGTGGTACGTTTAAACGCCGGGAGAAAGATAGAAACGTAATGTACACAGAGAAACCCGAGAGTTTACGACCGAGGCGATGATTAACGTTCCATCGATCAAAGTGCCTGGCGCGCCAGCGAAAATTAGTGCTCTTATTCTCTTTTTACTCGGTTTTTTTTCACTGTCAGCCGTTTTCCGTCACCTCTCTTATGGCATATAAGACTGAAACCATTGAATAACGGTGGTGATGGGGCTGGGTGAGGTGGAGTTTTCTACGTGGTCCACTCTATACTGCTCCGTTGGGATCCATCGGATGGGTCAATATTGACGCATGGCGCGGAGCGACGGAGGAAATGTCGCCACGGTGGAGACGCTTATCGACGATCGTATATAACCCAACGTGACGGCTCGGGAGAGAGCTTTGGAGAGTATAACGCTGTATGGGCATCCGCTTGATCCCCGATGTACCCCACGACACACGTTTCTTTCGAGGGCATTATGGCGTGGTCGGGGGTCGGGGGGGTTTTAAAAAAACATAATTCTGGGGAAATTCGTTAACCCCTCGAGGACAGCGCCCTTCTCACACTAACCTCGCGGCGTGCTAAGTAGAAACGCGATTTACTAACTTGTAATACACTGAGAAAAAAAATTTCTAATATCTGAAACATATTTTCTTGAGACGAGTAATTTTTCTTCAATTCTTTAATTCTCCCAGGCATCTCAACTCACGTGACCCGAGGAAGGTCTCATGTTTTAAAATATTCTTATACTCAAGGATGATTTTGTCGCACATGAACTCACTCAAATCGCGTAGAGGTATCGTCAATCTTCAAGTATTTATTGTTTTCATAATTTTTTTGTTATGCAGTTGCAATATTTCGATATGTAATATATTCACGGAGAGAAATATTCAATAAAAATGAGACTTCATTCGAGTTCCGTGAACCGCAAACATTCTGAGATTTAAACTATTGAAAATAATTTACTTCTTTCAAGTAACTATGGTCTACATACTAGAAAATTTTTCTCTCAGTGTAGTTAAAGAATCATGTGAAGGATTCGAGTGGACATTGAAATCAGTAAAAAGGGGCTTTGATCAGTTTTGCGATATGGATCCAGCCGGGATTTGACTGATCAGTAAATACTGTTGATTATTTTTCCCAATCGGATTTCGACCAATCAGAGCGCAGTATTTGAAGCTACCCGACAGTTTTATTTCGGATATTTCCTCCTAGCTTTTGAATATTTCGCAGTAATTCTTCATTTCTTTTACCTGAATATTTCACAGAAGCTCTTCATTTTTTCGGCTCATTTCAGATAGAATCTTATATTTGACAGTCTATGGAAAGCGGGTTATTCTATTAACATAATTTGTTCAAATCTTTCCCTATTCACCTCCTGTTATCCACTGCACTCTGCTTGGCCAAAATCCGATTGGGAAAAATAATCCGATAAATACCCCTCGAGATTCAAAATTAATCGGGTATTTCCCTCATGCTCCCCTGCAAACAAACCACCGTACCAAGTTTTGCAAAACAAATTTTTAACCTGCAAAACTTGACACCCTCATTTGTTTGCAACCAAGCTATCAGGAAATGCCCGATAATTTTGGAGCTCTTGGGGTATTAGTACTGAAAATTTTCCACTGAAATTTCCGGTACGAGTCTTGGAAATCTCGGACAAGTAATATTTCCACTGGAATATCAAGGAATTTAGTCCTTGAGAATTTCATAATTTCCTAAATAATTTCACGAAAAAATTAGTAGGATCTGGAATTTTTTGTTTAATGACTCTCGGGAAATTGATAAAAAATCGGGAAAATTCTGCAATTTTCTACCGGTGGATCGAGGCTTCCATTATCATCAATATCTCAAGCAAAAAACATCATTCTCGAGCCAAGAACAATGATTTCTGTCCCCTCCAAACGGCACCTCATTAATTTCCCCGAGAAATAAAAAATTGAGAATTTTTTTCATGTCAATTTAAATCTCTACGATTCCGGAAATTTCCGCTCCCATTCGCTGATGACGGAAGTCTTCCAGGTCAACAGCGTTCTGAGATATTAGAAAAACAAATCCTTAGGGTGGGAGATTGATTTTTGAATATCTCGGGAGGGGCTCTCCTACAGAGTTCAAAAGCGGAAATTTACCCGGATTCGTGACGCTGGGGGTTGACTACCCCGTGGTGCTTGTTTCTGCCGATGAAAAAAGTTGAGGGGAGCAGGAATGAGTACACTTTTGTCTTCTCTTCACTCAGTCACAGAACTCTGGACGACATACACCGCATGGAAAAAAAGTTGAGGAAAAATTATCAAACAAATCGAGTAATCGTGGGGTGAAATTCAGTTTTAGGACTTTTAGCTCTATATCGAAGATGAATGCGAGCCTAATGTTAAATTTGTCTCCCCCTGCTTCGAAAAATCTGCTCAATGTCAGGGTAATTTGTCATGAAATGATGAAATTGATTCGGAATTGCATCAAATTCGATGACAAATTTGTTTATTTCGTCATTTATTTGATTTTTGAAAGCTAGGTCTTATGCTTACTCTATTCATTTCACCTAATAAAATTCTCCAGAAAAAATCTAATGCTAGCACTAGCACTGAAAATTTTATTGCGTAGCACATCAATTTTTCTGGTACGCTGTTAGAAATTTCTCGAAATTTTATGAAAGATATTATAGTAACTCTCATGAGAGTGACAGTGGGTCGGATTTAGGTAAAAAATGGCTATGAAATTTTAAGTTTTAAGTAGAATTCACGGAAATTCATGAGATTTCAGCGGGAGTGAGGTGGAAATTTCACAACTTGATTCCGTTTCCAGTGGAACATAAATATTCAGAGACAAAATGACATGAATTATCAATTTTTCCCTGAATTTTTCTGATTTTTCTGAATTTCCACAGAATAATTGAACCGAAAAATCAAGTATTGTATTGATTTCCCGATCATTTGGCCAGAAAATCAATGGAATATTTGATTTTTCAATGACAAAATTTCTTGAAATTTCAGTGCAACTTGAACACAGTACCGACTACTCGTATTCATTTTTGCACCGACACATGTAATTTTTCTTTGAACGAATCGTAAGATATCCTCCACAGAAAGTATTTTTAATTAAAAAACATTTCGCTCCCCAATTACCTTCCTTAGCGTAAAAATTTCCGGAATTTTCTAGATGTTTTTTACTCGACTTTTCTCTCCGCGCGGAAGCCCGGCGAAGACAAGCGACGTCCGAGCGACGTTTCCGTGCCGTCGGCGAAGATGACGAGACGTTTATTAGAGATACCCCTCACTGCTGAAAAACTTCGTA